ATCAGGTCGGGCATCGCTCTAGAGCATTTTCCGATCAATCACGGTCATATCCGGCAGCAGCGAAGTAGTTTTCACACTCATCCGGCGTGAAGATGTCGACGGCTTCGGCGATGGCGTCCCAGAGGTCGTCGACGGTGCGGGCTGCGATCTTCTTGAGGAAGGCCTTGAGCTTTGAGAATGCCATCTCGATCGGATTGAAGTCGGGACTGTAGGGCGGGAGGTAGAGCAGTTCGGCTCCGGCGGCTTCAATGGCCTCGCGGACGGCGATGGGTTTGTGGGCCGGTAGATTGTCCATGACGACGACATCGCCAGGATTGAGGGTCGGGATCAGAACTTGTTCGACATAGGCGATGAAGGCTTGGCCGTGCATCGGGCCATCAAGGACCATGGGAGCGGTCATGCCGTCGAGACGGAGCGCGCCGACGAAGGTGGTCGTCTTCCAGTGGCCGTGCGGGACGGGCGCCCGACAGCGTTCGCCTCTTGGCGCGCGGCCGTAGCGGCGCGCCATCTTGGTGGAGGCTCCGGTTTCGTCGATGAAGACAAGACGCTCGGGCAGGAGCTCGATCTGCCGTGCGAACCAGGCGCGCCTGCGACGTAGCACGTCAGCCCGCTGCTGCTCGGATGCATGCGCGGTTTTTTTTGAAGCTGAGGCCATGCCGGTCCAGCAAACGCCAGATCGTGCTCAACGAGAAGACGGCGCCATGGGCCTCTTCGAGATGCGCCGCCATCTCCTCCAGAGTGATGTCCGGCCGTTCGTCGATCAGGGCCAGGAGTTCGTCGGCATAGACTTCGATCCGGTGCGAACGGCGGTCGCCGCCCAGCGGCCGGGGCTCGGTGTGCCCGAGCCGTCGATAGCGATCCATCCACTTGATCGCCGTCGAGGGGGCAATCCCGAACCGATCCGCGGCCCTTCGGCAGGAGAGCCCGCCTTCCACCGCACGGATCACGCGCTGTCTTAGGTCGTTCGAAAGAGGTCGCGTCATGCAAGCTGGCCTCCTCCACCAGCCTACATCGTGAATCACATTTCTCGACGCATGGGAATCCCCTTCGACTCCAGCAGGTCGGAAAATGCTCTAGGCTCCGGACTCATAACCAATAGCAGACGATTGCGCCGATGAGGACGGCGGCTTCGAACGTTGCGGCCAGGCGGTCGTAGCGCGTGGCGATGCGTCGCCAGTCCTTGAGCCTGCAGAAGGTGCGTTCGATCGCGTTGCGTGCCCGGTAGGCGGCGGCATCGAAGGCGTGTTTTCGCTTGCGCGTCGGGTTGTTCGGCACGACCGGTTCGGTGCCGCGCTCGCTCAGGAACCGGCGCAGGCCGTCGCTGTCGTAGGCGGCGTCGGCGATCAGTCTGCGCGGTGGCGGCAGAGCGCCAACGAGCGCGAGCGCCACAGGGCTGTCGCCGCGCTGGCCTGGCGTGAGGATCACGGCGCGCGGCCGCCCCAGTTCGTCTGTCGCAACGTGGATCTTGGTGGTCCGGCCGCCGCGCGAGCGGCCTATGGCGTGGACGGCGCCCCCCCTTTACCGCCGGCCGCGCAGCGGTGCGCCTTGACGTGCGAACTGTCGAGCAGCAGCTCGGCCGGTGGACCGCCGCTGTCGGCCAAGGCGCGGAACACCTCGGCCCAGACGCCGGCCTTGGCCCAGCGGACATAGCGGTTGTACAGCGTCTTGCGCGGGCCGTAGACCGCCGGTGCGTCGGCCCATCGGCACCCCGTCCTGAGGACGTGGACGATCCCGCTAATCACACGCCGGTCGTCCACCCGCGGCACACCGCGCGGCTTGTTCGGCAGCAGCGGCTGAAGGCGCGCAAACTGCGCCTCGCTCAGCCAGAAATGGCTCTCCGACATCGCAAGCTCCCTACCGTTTGGAAGCTTGAATCAAACCTGCCCTCGCGCCGGCAAGCCTTTTATGGGTCCGGAGCCTAG